TCAAAGGCAACGTTCGCCTGGGGAAACTTGAGGAAGAAGTCAAAGTAAGTTTGCTAATTCCCTTATTGGATTCTCCCACGGTCTGACCAATGACACGTTCATTGACTGACAGAAAGTCTGAAACGCTGACTTTGACAGTGACTTTGCTCTGCCTTTCATGAAAGATTAGACAAAATGTATGCAGACCGAATTAATTTTTTTAACATTTTTTTTTAAAACCCTGTGGCTGATGAGAGGTTAGATAGCCAATGTGTCCGCTTTTCAGACTGCGACCGTATGTAGAATATTATCTACACTTCATTTTGCACAGAATGACCCTCCTCGCTGCTTCCTATTGATCCGTCCACTCCAATGCATTTTAAAAATCAACTCTAATGGCCTTGCAGCACTCAGAATGTTTAAATTGATAAACTCACATTCACATTTGTCTGAGCTCACCGGTTGAATACTGAAGACTGCAGTTTCCCCTATCGAGATCAGAGTCTCGGGGACAGGCTGCAGCCCCAGGGGTGAAGATAACAATCAGCAGGGACACTTCTTGTCTTTCTTCTTCGTTGTTCTCTTTGACTTTGGGTGATGTGAGGCGATCCGTGTCACCCTGCTGTTTGTTGTTGAAACCGACGTCCGTCCCTTCTACTTCAACGCCTTTCACGTCCCATCATGTCCTCAGAGCTGTTTGTCAAAACGGCTGTTTCGGGAACTATAATTAACTTTAGTGGAGTGAAAGATTCATCTGTCACTACCTATCCCGCCTGACTGCCTGTGTTTAGCTACCAGTCAATTTACAATGAGCATATGTCAAACTGAAGGCCCGGGGACCTAATGTGGCCCACCACACCATTTTATGTGGCCCATCAGAGATTAACATACGCATAGTTGTCTTTAAATAAATTTCTTGATGATTTACTAATGGTTTCCGGGTAAATTATCACAGTCATATTCCATGTCCATAACATGTGCATGGCAACTAATCCACAATTTTTATTTCTTGTGTACATTTGAGTTTAACAGAAACTACATCTCCCATAATGCACATCAATTTTGTCACGCAATTTTGTAACTTTATTCAAAATTTTAGATTGTCTCCTGCACAAATATTTTTGTATAGTATAGTATTCTTATTGTCAGTATAACGTGTAAACAGAAAGAAAGATCAGACTTCTTTCTTTTCACCTGTTTTGGTGAAAGTTTTTCCAGGTTCTTATCATTATTTTTTTACAGGAATAAAATGGAGCCGTATATTCAGCTTGTCACCATGGAAACTTGCACTTATCAGTTACATCGTCTGCTTCGGTTGACAGTTGTCCTGTACTGTAGCACATTGTTACGGCCGGCGTTTTGATTGTTGGTTCGTTATGTCACTCTGGGAGAGTCCATGCCTTGCTCAAGGGCCCCTTCTCTTTGCATGTTGAGCTTTTAGAAGATTCTGTCGCTCAAGCCACAGCAGGAAAACCATCACAGCAGTCTTGATAGTCTTATTAGTGTTCCTATAGCAACAGCTCAGTGGTGTGTGTGTCCGTGTGTCCGTGTGTGTGTGTGTAGTGATTAGACCTTTGAATGAGGAAAGCTGTTCGTCTGTTCTCATCTTCATTTCTCATGGCAATTTTTGTTTTTTGTTTTTTTTAATTGCTGAACGAAACGTTGACCCAGTGATTACACGTCCACTTTTTTTTTGGTCAGGAGAAAATGCACTGAGGGTGAAATCAGGCCACGTCACTGAAGTAACACAAGTCACTGCATGTTGTTGTGACTTGAAAATAAGCATGACTAAAAATAAACTGACTTTCATTCAGCAGTTTAATTGAAAATAACTGAAAGTCTTTGTCCATAAACCTAACCTTAAAGGATATGAAGAACAAGAAAATGCTTCACAAAAAGCAGTCAACGTTTCAGCAAAAATACAGTAATCATGTTACTACAGTATTGATGTATATTACATACATCTTCATTTTTATTTAATCGTCTGGTGTTAATGTTTAAGTGAGGGCAGGTATAAATATAGCTGGTCATGAGTTCGCTGACTTCATCTGATATTCTTTTTTTATTAGAACATTGGTGATATTTGAACATGCACAGTTTAAGGCAAAACATGAGATTCTGATGAGATTTTAAGAAAGATATGACATATAATTAGTGTAAACAAGGCCAAGTGTTTTGATCTTCCTTTGCATGAATGACAAATGACTCTTATAGATAATTATCATAATCATAATAAGGCTGTTGTAGAAGTCAGTTTTTAAAGTTAAGTTAATGCTAAAAATATAAATTCCTAACCCATCTGTTACATAATATATGCATATATTATGTAGATACTGTATGTACATACGGTATATGTATATATAAGTACACAAGTGTATATACATAATTCTGTATTATGAGCTTAACAATTCAACAACACATGGACAGAAATTAAATTCATTAAATGTGAAAGCTGTCGGGTTGTAAAAATATTAAAATTTCTATTTTATTTTTAAGTAAGTAAAACGATTAAAACGTCTGTGTACACTCAATGTTACAGACCAGAATCCTCCACAGCAGCAGATGCACAGACTGGTTATTAATCTGGGGCAGACATGGGCAAACTAAGGCCCGGGGGCCGGATGCGGCCCGTTCAGCTTTTTAATGTGGCCCGCCAAACTTTTCCAAATTATGTAATTTATTTCTATTATCATTAGACTTCTGCCTTTTTCCTGCAGTACCTAAGTTTCCCCAATAGATGGCCTGGTCTAGGGAGTTGCGTGTCGCTGTTGTTCACCGTGCATCTACCTGTAAATTAGCTTTGAGACTACGCTAGGACATCACAGTGGAAACTCTGCAGAGTTTAAATGATATGTCAACAAACACTGTATTGAAAATAGTAATCAATTTATTTAATTATTAATTAGCATCTTAAATCAAAAAAGCTACACTAAGCTTTGGTCAAAAACACGAACAAAAAAAAAAATCACAGACAGTAACAAAGGTAAAAATGTGACCTGATTTAACAGACACGTCACAGACTCTTCGCTGATTGACACTGAGAACACAGACAACAGGGAGTCAAAGGGAGTAGATATAAATATAAATTCCTGAAATGTACCATTGAATATACTGTATTTAACGGCATGATCGCCCAAGGACCCCATTTTATCAGAGTTGTGTGAATTCAGATCAGTTTTACACCAGATTGTTTTAACATCATCGCCAAGAACTTAGAGTTCCACAAAGTTAATGACATTGTTGTGTTTTTGGTTTAAATATTTCGTCAGTTGGTGGGAAAAAAAAAGTGCATTTAATTAGCGGGCTCTTTGACTTTGACTTTTGTTTTGGTTATGAAGCTGAAAACTTTTTTACAAACTTGGCTAAAGCTGAAACGACAGCAGAAATAATACGATGGCTCAAGGTTTGTTTATTTTTTACTCTGTGCCTCAGATTCTTTCTTTCTTTCTCTTTTATTTTTTTTTAAACCATTAAAATGATTGTTGTTCTTGCCGAGCACAACATTTTGTTAAATAGAAAAATCAATGGAAAATACTTTAAGTTTCAAGTCCTATTTTTGACATCTGGTAAACAACATACACTGTAATTTTTTTTAATTTTTTTTTTTTTTTATCAGACTTCCATCCCAGACAAATAATAAGATGAAACACAATAGTAGCAACTCTTGTAGGATGGAGGCTATTTTAAATGGTCAGTAGAATAAAACCTTGTGGTACCTGCAACATAAGTTTTTAAAATTTAAATAATTTAGAAATAAAAACAAAGCCATGTTGTCACCATCTAACGTTGATAAACGAGGGTCCAGATTTCAGAGTATTATTTCAGAGTGTTATTGTTGTACAACTCAAACACCTGTGCCCTCGAGCTTATACTCTCGAGAGATTATCATACACACGACACTGAACACACAGGGTCACACAATTACAGCACAGAGACTTACAGCTGCTGCTCCTGCCGTCACAGCCTGTCAGTTCGTTTGATGGATGAGCGTTAAAGCATAGACTATCAGTGAAGATTTTTCTTCTTTTTTTTTTACATGAAGTCTTTTGATTAGCATGTGGTTTGCATAAGGGTTACTAAGAGTGAGGCTTTTTATAGGCGGGTCATGACCTTAAACTTTAGGGCTTCTTATCTGTCGACATGACAGGCCAGGATAAAAAAAAAAAGCCTATTTTCTGCTGCTGATTTTATCTCATTCCACAAAACTACAGGTTTAGCAGCATCACATCAGGCCCTGGAGGAGCAGTCACACATACCCTGACACAGACACTGGCAGAATCCGTAGACGAGGCAAACTGTCAGGCTTGATGGCACCAAACTTACGCATACAATACCCAGAGTCACTCTCTGAATCACTAACAAGTAGATTCCTAGAGGCAGCGAGCCAAAGTATAAGAATCCCAGCAGCCAGACCAGGATGCGTGGGACATGATTACAGAATTTTGACAGGGCGTCCTGATCAACTGGCCCGCTGGAGCCCATCGATACAGAGTCCAGGCTCTGCTCAGCATAAATGTCAGAGCTTCCATTGCGACTCGGCGAGCGCTCCGAATCCCTCTGCACCTCCATGATGGTGATAACAAGGCAGTTAGAGGATTCCAGGGAAGGGCTGGATGAAGAGAAACTCTTGGGAGTCAGGACCACCTCCCCGTTGTGGTTGGAACTCCAGGATTTGTCTCGCATCGCCAAGTGGGACATAATATTAGCATCATCCGGCAGCGCTGACACCTCCAGCTCGATAATTTCTGTTTGGTGTCGGCAAAACGGGCAGGATATACAGCCTGCACTGTCAGCAATGTCCAGCATCTTAACGAGGCAGCGGGTGCAGACCCTGTGCAGACAGTCTAGGATCTTAGGCTTGCGGTTGTGGGCATTGTAATGTTGGTAACAGATTTTACACTCGAACTCCTCTGGTGGAGGGCAGCCTTCCTTCAGCTGGGACTGAGGGCACCTCATCTTCACGTCATGTTCTGAGAACACAAAAAAAAGTAAAAGATTAGGAGGTAATTATTTCAAACCCAACTTTAAATGTGACTCTGAATTGCGGCGGTGAAGCTAGCACTGCTACCTATTAGCATATGTTTGCAAGAGCCGGCTCGTGTGTGAGTGTGGATGACAGGAAAAGGTCAGAACTCTGTCATTTCTCCAAAGACTGCTGCTCTGTGTACCTGCTCCTGATGAATGATTTATGCTCTGGGAATCAGATCAGGGTGTCATCCCAGAGCCTTTGTAGCAAAGCACAGCCAGCGTTGCTATTGATCTTCAGAAAGAGACGGCAGCGACTGATTCTGTTTAAACTTCACTTTGTTGTTCTGCTGTTTTCAGTTTATTTTTTCTTCGTTTTCTGTTATACCTGTTGATTGAGATTATTTTACGTTTTACAGTACTCTAATGCAGTGTTTCCCAAACTTTTTTTTTTTTCTGGGGACCAATATTTGTCACAAACCTTTGTGACCCAAGTCAATAGATATTATTCGTAAATCACAAAATTAAAGGTGTACTTGACCATTATTGAACATTAATCAGGATATTTTATTGTTGACCGGAATTCAGTTGAAGAGAATTGCAAAAACGAAGTTTAGTTCTCAACAATTTTTTCAAAACATACCTTTCAACACACGTGCAGCTGTAGCTCTGTAGGCAGTAGAGTTGACTATAGAAAACACTACATTATTACAGAGCTGTTGTGTTAGTATCATGGACCAGGATGTTACTCTGTCCATGGTGCTGAAGTCAGGGCTGGAGTGGATCAATGCAACATGTCTTTGGGAAACAAAGCTCTAATGAACCAAAGATTCTTTTTCATCAACTACCACCCATTAATACACATTTGGATCTGTACTGTTCCATCTGTAAAAAAGATTTTCAGTAACCTAGACAATGGAATATACATGGAAATGTATGTCTTTGTGAAACAAAGCTCTAATGAACCAAAGATTCTTTTTCATCAACTACCACCCATTAATACACATTTGGATCTGTACTGTTCCATCTGTAGCATCAAGATTTTCAGGAACCTAGACAATGGAATATACATGGAAATGTATGAGTATAAGTTGATGGCAAACATGATCTGCTTTGATTTACATGAAGCATTTTTTAATCTATGTATTCTCCCATTAATTACAACTTCAAACTACCTATGAAAAATGATAATACTGCAAATGTTAAGTACTGTTTGGACCAGGTCATTAAAGCCTCATCTTGTCCAAATTGAGGCGTACATTTCAATATTTTAAGGTTTGTTTTTTTTAACCCCGACTTTGATTTATATTGAAAGTATATTTTCCCATGAATCCTGTTGAACTTGGCATTTTGTTGTGAGTGATCCACCAACAGACTTTACTCTTTAGTTTTCCCTGTTTCATAGTCAAAGGCTCAAACAAGTGGAGAAACAGCGAGACACCGACTGTCAGTCATTCTAATAAGGTCAAATAGCTTCAGGAGAAACGTGTCAAGCAAGAATTGACTGCAAGGACCTCCTGCCTCCTGTACTTCCCACTTGACCTTTAGGTTTTCAGAATATTGACAGGCACACGCTGTAAAAGGTTGTATAATATTTTATAATCCTATTTCTATAATGGAATTGAGTGAAATATACAACTATTTTACTTTTGCTGCTTAAAAGGAAAACCATCACAACTGCTGGAGGTGACGGTTATCTGAATAAATGCACACTTTAAATAGTGTGAAGAAAAATTGAATTAACTTTTTGCAAATGTTTATTTAGATTAAAACCATTTGGAGGTCAACCTTCACTGTGTCAGCTTTACGAGTTCATTTTTGTCATAAATCACATTTCCGGTGATCTCATAAATATAGATGTAATAAAGCAACAACACACATCAATGGTTCAGGCTATTGCCTATTACTAACAGTGGGTGATAAAATAATCATACAAGCATATGGCATTGACAGATTTCAGGTCATAAAACAAATTCAATATCAGAAAAATAAGCCTGACATGCTGACAGTCAGTTTGCTCTAAAGGACAGAGTAAAAAAAAAAAGCAACAGTGCTTAAAGCACCAGTTTTATTCCATCGTGTGAAGTGTAAAAAAGAAAATAAAAAAATCAATGAGCACTGATGAAAGCGACATGAGAACTCCATGACCAAAACTAAAATATGACAGAATAGATTTTTCTTTCCAACTGTTCCTGATTGTTGAGAGCGCTGCAATCAAACAAATGGAATCAAAAGCTCAGCTCTGAGTCTTATTCCATATTTAAAGTCAGTGTGATCAATGGATAATCTGAAACTGGATGATACGTACTTTTCACATTCAGCCTTCTGAAAGGACCAACCCCGATCGACCCTGATTAGGCATCATCAATGTACTGCCGTTTGGTGTTTCAGTGAAAAAAAAAAAACGTTAGGACTTTGAGATATTTGAGGATGGAAATAAAACGCCAAGAAGTCATTTATACTGCATTTCCTTCTGAAGGAAATCTGAGAAGTACCCTGTGGCCTCTTTCTATTTATTGTCCCTCCAGGAAGTGCATATTAAAGCTGTTACTCTAAAGAAGACTTTCAAGGAAATTACCCACGACCCCTTTGATTTTCTTTATACATTTACATATCTTTCTAGTCGTCCTTCACGCATATGAGGTTATTCATAACTTGTGTTTACTTGTTGAGGTTTAGATTTACATTAACTGAGGAGGAAAATAAGATAATATAAGATGCTCTAATTCAGTGGTTCTCAAACTGTGGTACGAGTCCTCTCTAGTGGTACACGGGGAAAATTTATATTTTCACATTTACATTTTCAACTGAATAAATCTGAAACATACCTATGCACAATTATTACAACATTTAAACATAAACACCTTTATGAACATTTCTAAACATCTCTCCTGTTTGGTGGAAGCTGGATAAAAAGGTTTGAGAACCACTGCTCTAATTTCCTTCTTTTTTCTTAAGATATCTCCTTGTGATTCATGTTCAAAGCAAATATAACTGAAGTTACATGAGTTAGTTTTTAGGTTATATATTTCAAAACAGCCCAAATGTCAGCAGATCCTCATGATCACAGCTTGACATTCAGTACAATTCAGTCCGTTTGATACTTGGTATTCTAACATAGAAGTTGTGTTAATCCTACAGTGTGCTGTTAATGTCCAATAGTTCCATTGTCCTCAGTCTTACCAACTTCTCAGAGGAAGATGCTGTTGGAGAACAGGACGGTCAATCATTTATCTTCGGATTTAACAAAGTGTTGCTACGTTGGCTGTTAGCCAGCTGGCATCTCTGTCTCTGGCTTATAGTTGAATATATGAGCTGCCACTCTGTTGTTTCTATGAAAGATGTTGGTGAGAAACAGCTACTGCGACATTAATCACAGGAGCTAAATCTACCAGGTTTATTTTCTGAAGTCAAAGTCAAACACAGGTTATTTTGAAGGTTCACTGCACACTGCTACCAGGGAAAGTATAATATCCAGCTTTGGGAAACATCTGAGAGGAAGTAAGATTGAAATGTTACTGCTGGCCAGAAAGCCACCCATTAAAGCTGACATAATAAATAAACATTTAGCCTTATTATAGGACTGAGCCGTAGTATTCCTCAGATGCCTGTCGACAGGTTGTTTTTTTTATGGTTTAAAATGAGTTAAATGTTATGACACATCACACGTACAAAGCTGTAGGTGATCTATGTAAGCAGCTTTCATCCAAACCTAGCAATTTACACACATTTAGACCTACGGTCACATAGATCTGCATGGAGGAAACTTACAAACGCACTCACAAATATATATATTATGAGTATGTTTGTATGTGTGTATATATATATATATATATATATTTGTGTGTGTGTGTGTATATATATATATATATGTATATATGTATATATATATATACATATATATATATATATATATTCATACATATATACACATATATGTATATATGTATATATATATATACATATATACATATATATATATATATATATATTTTTGTGTGTGTGTGTGTATATATATATATATATATATTTTTGTGTGTGTGTGTGTATATAGGCTCATATAGGCTCTCATTAGCACCACCTACCCAACATCGGTTGCTAAAGCCGACTTCAAGCTGAAGTTTACTTCAGTAATTACATCGTGGTATTTGCTGTTGTTTCTCATTTTAAACACCTTCATCAACATGCGAGCCTTGCCGCTACACTGCTGCTCAACCTTTCACTTTCCAGATGAGCTGTGTGGATTATACTGAGTAGTTTTGCCAGCACTTTCCCACCGTGTTGCCCTTAATTCTGTAGGTGACTGTATTTTTTTTTATCTGTATCTACGGTACGGCTAGATGTTTTTCTTTTCACATTTCTTTCAACCCTGGAACTCCTTTCAGCTCAGCCTCAGGTTTAGACACTATTTCTATTCTCTCTCCTTCCTTGCAGTGAAGGAAGTCTGTGATGATGACCTGCTGTAAAATGTCAGGGCTACCTGGGGTACTTTTGAGGTGAAAACTGAAATATTACCGTATTTTTCGGACTATAAGTCGCACTTTTTTTTCACCCTTTGGCTTGGTTTGGCTTTTTATACTCAAGTGCTACTTATATATTAGAATATATAATTTCATGTTCGTTATTTTCACACCGACAGCCACTAGAGGGCACTCTTGGCTTGTGTACCATTATTTGCTCCTGTATCACTGAAAATGTATGTGTTCGTTTCTTTCACACTGACAGCCACTAGAGGGCACTCTAGGCTTGTGTACTAGCATCTGCTGCTCCTGTACCACTGAAAATGTATGTGTTTGATATTTTCACACTGTCAGCCACTAGAGGGCTCTGTTGCGACTTATATATGTTTTTTTTTCCTTTTCATTATGCATTTTTTGGCTAATGCAACTTATACTCCGGAGTGAATTATAGTCCAGAAAATACGGTATTTAAAACTTGCCAGATAAATGGCAGTTTATTTGTATCGGCTTTGGATTTAATGTGAAGGTAATCAAAAGTGACACGA